CCCTCTGGATCTAGGTTCCCTCTTGAAAGCTTGTAAGCCAATCACTTCTTGCCTTTGTAGCCCCCCCCCCCCCATTTTGGGTAACCAATTTCCAAGTTGCCCATCCCTGTCTACTCTGTGTATGGAGGGGGTGGGAATGATTCTTGCTATAAAGATTTGTTCCCTCTTTTGAACTACTGCATCCATTGTTGTAGGTCAAGTTCATCAAATTGTATCAGATTACTGTTTTTTCCCCTCTTTTTTCTTCTAGTTGAGCACTGATCGTCCAGTCATTGAAGCCAGGTCAAGTGGGTATTATCTGCAAGTGTGGGTGTTCTTATGCATATGCCCTTCTCTTCTTATCAACTGGATGCTTCACTCTCCACTCTAGGCCTCTGTGGTTTTGTCACTGACTCTGGGCCCAAGAGTCCCCAGGTCTTGCCACACTGCTGGCCAACCAGGTCTCCAACCCGGTTCACAGGAGTCTATTGAATGTTGCAGGGCTTAGCTCACAGCTTCATTGCTGTTTTTCCCTCATTTCCCCTTATTGGTGACGGCCATGGTCACCAATCAGAGTGTGTATTCCCACTGAGTCTTAGTCTTGGAAGGGGGTTTGCTCTGAGGGGACCCAACCACTTGCCTTGATGTCTCCTGGATGAGCAACTTGTTTGTTCTTGTAGTAACAGTCGGTCTGCCTCTATTGTTTTGTACTTTTCCGGTAGGTCTTTCTTTCAAGAAGTATCTTCTGTTCTTCTAGCAGCTCCAGGCTGGTCTGCCCATACTTTCAAGTGGAAATTTCCCACCTCTGAAGATTCTGGATGCTGTTCAGGATTTCACCTATGGTCTTATGTAATGCAGAGACTCCGCAGGAAGCCTCCTTCACTGGGCACATCGTTGCCCCATTTTAGGTATTCCAGTCAGTTATAGGCAGAGTACGGACTTACAAGCTTTCTGTGGTAATATTTTTGGCCATTCCTTTCTCTCCCATCAAGTACTTTGTAATGGTATGCAAGGGAAACCAAGATTCAAAAGACAGCCAAGCATCTTAACATTATTCCCCCCTTTTCCCCATTCCAACCATGTCTCAATCCCTGTATCCCAGAGCCCTGTTGTTCCAAGGTTGTGCATACATTATTCTGTCCCACTTAGCCCGTGGGAACCTGCCTAATTGTTCTCCCATCTGCTTTGTTCTTCCATTCCCCTCCCCCTTATTGTATATTGCCCCCCTCCCGGGCACCCAAACTATCCTGTGTGTATTCCCTGCCTTCCTTCACCTTCCTCTCCTTCTATGCTCCACCTTCCTCTCCCTTCCCTCACATCCCAGCAACCAGCAAAGAATCCCGCCCCACTTCTTTTAGTATAGATTCTTTTTCTTAGTTTTTTACAGTAGTAGTCTTATGCAGTATTTCTCCTTTTGTGACTAATTTCACTCAACGTAATGTCCTCAAGGTTCATCAATGTTATGCGGTGGCTTGCAGCTTCCTTGTTATTCTTCAAGGTAGCATAATATTCATTCCGTTGTGTGTATGTACCACAATTTTTAAAAATTGCTGCACTAGTTGTATTTTTGTTGTAAATCACCAACCAGTCAGTTCTGACTCACAGCAACCCTGTAGAGGGCTTCCAAGGTTGTAAATCTTTGTGGAAGCAAAAAGCCTCATTTTTCTCCTACAAAGCAGTTGGTGGGCTTGAACCGCCAACCTTGTGGTTTGCAGTCCAGAGCTTATCCTACAGTGCCACATCAGGACTAGACTCTGTTTAATCGTTATTTATTAGTCCCTTGGCTTAGTCTGTCTTGAGCACTCTATCATCTGTAACTAGCTGGGCTAACGGTGGCCATGCCAAAAAAAAGTCTGCTAACAATTACTGAAACTCACCGGCAGCCTATTTTCTTAATGCTCAAATTTTACTTTGTTTGTAGCTTGCAGATTACGTTCTCTTCAGCTCTGCAACTCTTTAACTTAACCAGTACTTAGCAAGTCCCTGTCAATCAAGATTTCAACACTTTTGAAATGTCCAAAAATGCATTTCCTCTTCATGAAACCAACATTCCAAAGTTTCAAAACCTTCAAATTGTGAGTTTATCTATTTAGTACACATTTAAGCCTATACTGATTCATATAAACAAAATCATACAGATTAGATGAACTTCCACCTTTATTCAGCTTCATAGAAAAATCCAAAAAAATGCACCTGAAAATGGGTTAAATACCATCTAAATATCAACTAACTGCTCATTATCCAGAGAGAATACTATGTGACCAGAAGGTTTGCCTGAAGTTAATCAAATTCCTAAATTCCTAGTCTTCAAAGGTGCAGAAGTCCATCGTAAAAACCAAGCTTCCAAGTGCTAAGTAGACAGAGGAAACAATTCGACCTTCAATACCTGGAGCGCAGCTGTGCCCCGTGGTACTGTAAGGAGAGACTCCCAAATCTCTTGGTTGTGACAGGCCCAGAGCGCAGCAGCCGGGGAAGCTCACTGACCCCTCAGGAGGGCATGGCCATGGGACGGGGTTACAGTGAGTCCAACAGTCCCGTCCCTTCACAGAGGTTTTCAGAATGGACACTGTCACTGTCACTGACGTCTGCCTGCCAGTTTAACAACTCACATGGTTAAACACACTCGGTTTTCTTCTAGCTCGTGTGTGTAGTTCTAAAAGTGTCAGATGATGAACCGTTCGTTATGTGTTAAACACACTACGAGGATCCTGAGAGGAAGGCTGCGACACATTCCCGCTCCCTACCCGATATGACAGACACGTTGCCAAATCACAGCCTCTGTGGTATCGTGACCAAAATCGACAATGAATGCTTCTTAGTAGCTGATGTACAGCTACGGTGTGCAATGGAACTAGCTCAGCCACGATCATGCAAAAAAAGACCCTCCACAATCGGTTTCAAGAGCATTTCTTTTTTTCATATGTTTTATAAAATGGTCTTAAAGGTGTATTTCCATAAACATTTCCGGTGCAATTTAGTTGATGACAAAAATACAAAGCTCTCCATCACTCTTTAAAGATTCTGAACCACATCTTCGCAGCGCTCAGCTACGAGTAGAGACTGCTAGGGAGGGGACTTTGTGAGATCCCTACAATCCAGTGGGCACCGGTCCAGTAGGACCTGCCTCGGTCTAGAGCAGCCTACCACCACCACTGGTGGCAGCGTGCTGCAAATCAACAACAACTCAACACTGAGAGGGTAAGACAAAATTCAAAACGTACTTTTTAGACAGAAACGGTGATTTCATAAACATGGAAGAAATCTTGAAAAGGAAAAAATCAAAAAACAAAAACATTCACTTCAATTGCAATATACATTGGGAAACCATAAAATGTCATTTTCCAAAATAGTAGCTTCTTTATTATAGTCCCGCCGCCATTCTAACCCATCTTGGAAATATACCTTCAGCATTAACGGTGTATGGCATGAAAATACTTCATTATTCAAGGTGATACATTTAATAAGTTACAACAGGATTTTTTTTCTTTCCTGATGTTGACAATCACAAAGAAAAAAACAAAACAAACAAAAAACAACACAGCCCCTGAAATACTAAAATGAATTTAGTTAAGCATGAAGTACTTATATTTTGGTTCAAAATACAGTTTATGCAGCTGTATAAAGGATACTGACCAGAGTAATTTGTTTATAGTTTGCAGATGACACAAAAGAAAAAAAAAAAAAAATCTAGTATAAATCCAAATAAAGTTCTACTTCTCCCAACCTGGACAAAGTGAAATGTTTTAAAAGTTCGTAAGACGGTGACTCCCATGGTAGCTGAGATCAGTGGATATATGGCATTCCCACCCCGCCCCCGTCCCCACTATAAGTTTTTGGCTCCCAAATAAAGTACAATAATAAACTCTTGAGGAAAAACTATGTTATGGGGCGGTCTCTCATATACGATGGTTAAATGCGAATTTGCAGAAAAGAACACATCCCATTCTCAGCACTACCCCTCCCCCCATAAACATGCAACTCACTATAAAACACAAACCACTTGGCTTTTGAGAACAGCTTTATAAAGACACACTGAATCAACAAAGTTCTTTCTTTCTGATTAACTTCACACTGAGTGGAAACCTGGTACCTTTCTCACGTGTGTATATATCAGATTTTACATTATAGTAATAACTTGCATTTTCTGCATGTTAATGTTCAAGAGGAAGTATCTATACACAAGAACATTCTAGACTATCAAAAACTCATTCAAATTACAGGATTTTATTGATACAGTAGATTAATAAAAACTGAATGGGGGTGATAAAATGGTATAAAGAATTCAGTACATTATTTTATAGCACACTCTTTAAAATTAAAATATTTTAATCTCTCTCTCTTTTTAAAATGCTCATTTGCCATGGAGGGCTAGAGCATCCAGGACCAATACTGAGGTGTCGAAGTCGCCAGACCACGTTGGGGAGAGTCCACAGACTGCACGGTATCGCACCCGCAGAGACGGTGGTGGGCTGTTGCGGCCGACCAGTTAGCACCTCTGGAGTTGGAGGGTGCCGGAGAGGAAACACTGGGTGAGATCCACAAAGGGAAAGTGACCAGGGTGCGGCATCGAGAAGACCCCGCTCTCGGGTGAAGAATTTGTTTCACAGTAAAATTGCAGAGAATACAGATACAAACACTGACAGTGCCGCCTAACCAACACTTTGAAACCAACCGATCCGATGAACCGCCAGGTGCTGCCAGTTTAAAGCCGCAGGGAGAAGCTATACAAGCGCTTTAGAAGTCAGGGACACTAAGAACAAATGGGTGGGGGCAAAGGCTATGTACAGGTTTCTTCTTTAGCTTCTTGACGTGGCGGCCACACATCACTCTGTCGAGGGACGCCAGGCCCTGTCGTCATCGAGCGTGACTGACGCGGAAGGTCAGGAGAGCAGGGTCCACTGCCTGTCTTCGGCAGTCCCGTTTTGTGCATCAAAAGCTTTAGTCGGACTCACGCTTGACAAACAACAACTACAACCACAACAAACTGATCTCTTTCAACAAAAGTTGTGAGCTGCGCCTGTTCATCGCCTCTCCCTTTTGGAGCTTCTTCGTCGAACCTAAGAGAAAAAAAAGCCCAGAGACAGAGATGCAGCGTTAAAGCACACGCCACCATCCTTAGTCTCATTCAGGGGCTTCTTCCCTTCCCTGGAGGCTCTGTCCCGCTGACACACAGGTAAACATGAGCTGTCCCTGAAAAGATCAGCTGCCAGGGAGGCAGCCCCCCAGGCATGGCACCTGACTGCCGGCCCCACCCCAACCTGTGGTGAAGGGACCCATGGTACCCACAGAGGCTTTTATGAGCTGACTGTCCCCTCCCCCTGTGCCTGTACACAGCTAGCCTCCTCCAGGCCTGTTAATAGCTCAGGAGAGAAACGAAGGAGCCCATCTCACAGCTAAGACCAACCTCTAGCAGTGGATACATCATTTTCTCCTCACCTTTCTGGAGTGAAAGAGACACTGGATACTCAGGAACTTTGGTTTTAAGTTTAGCATTCTTTCTGAGACAAATGCCCACAGAGCTTGTGGGTACAAATGCCAACAAGTATCCAATGAGCATAAATAAATGGAAATTTATACATCTCAAGTCTACTTACTGGCAAGCATTACGTATGAAACTTCAGTTCAAAAGGATCAGCTTTAACAAAAGAAATACAAACAAACCAAGGTATTCACTCATTGTTGTTAAGTGCTGTGGAGTCAGCTGTGACTCATAGCGACCCTGGTGGGTTTCAACTGCCCACCTTGTGCTCAGCAGTCAAGTGCTTAGTCTTGAGCTTCACACCAGGACCTCACACATTCACTCATTAGGTTTCCTTTGATACGGTTTTTGTGTGTGAAAGTATACATGGCAAAACATAGACCAACTCAACAATTTCTATGTGTGCAACTGAGCATATGGCCACATTCTCTGGGTTGTGCACATTATCCTACCACCAGTTAAACAAACCCACCGCCTGCTCTGCAGTTTCTCATCTGCCCTTTCTAGTTTCTGTTGTCAAGTCCACTTCATGTAACTCATTCTTGGAAAAAGAGCAGTGTTCAGGGCAGACATTCTTTACAAATAAACTACACTATTGCTGTTAAGCGCTACCCAGTCGATTCCAACTCACTCAACCCTGTACAAGGTTTCCAAGGAGTAGCTGGGGGTTGAACTGCCAGCCTTGTGGTTCACAGTCCGATGCTGATCCCACAGTGCCACAGCAGGACTAAGCTACACTAAAGCTTGTTGACACGTGAACTCAGGATTCATTTCCCTTTGAGACTTCAGGTACGAAGACTGTCTCAGGGCAATAGTTTCCAGGGATCAGCCAGTCTCCGTGGATCCAGAAAACCTGGATTTCAGAATATGTAAACTCTGGTCTGCATTCCCCCCTCCTTTTCATCAAGGTCTCCCATAGAATCTTGAGTCAAAATGTTCAGGTAACGGGAGCTGGTATCATGCCAGGGTTCTGGTCTCCTCCTCCCACTGGTCCAGGTGAATAGAGACCAGCCGTTTGTCTTGATGGGTGCTCACAAGGCCTTTAAGGCCCCAGATACTTAAACTATACATGAGCTATGAAGTGGGGAAAAACACGCCATGCCCCCAAATCTCCAAACCAGAAAAACAAATCCCATGAGGTATTTGGTGCTTGTTTTTTAGAAAAAAATAAAATTATAGATATATATATAAAACACACACACACATATAACATGCACACATAAATATATAACACAGGGTATGTTGTGTAAGTGCCGTCAAGTTGGAGAGTGGTTAGGGGGTGTGAACTGCTGGTCTGTGGCTTACCAGTCCAATGCTTATCCTACAGTGCCACACCAGGGCTCAACACGAGGGGGCTTCAGAAAATTCATGGGAAATGGAATGGGAAGATAATGGAATTTTTCGATGAACTTTTTGATGTTCCCCCCCATTAGCCAATTCAGCCTTTCATAGGTGGTGGTGATGTGCCCTAGAGTCAGTTCCGACTCACAGCGATCCTGTACAGGGTTTCCGAGGCTGTAAATCCTTACGGGAGCAGAAAGCCTCATCTCCCACGGAACAGCTGGTAGTTTCGAACTGCTGACCTTGAGGTCAGCAGCAAGACTCGTAACCACTGTGCTACCAGAGCTCCTTGACTTAGGTACACAGCTTCATCGATGACTCTGATCACACTGTGTACATGCCAAACGTCCCATCACCATTTGTTGTTGGCACATAGGCTCACTATGAATCAGACCCGAAATGACGGCACCTAATAGCAACAATAAACAAACAAACAAACAAACACTCGGTTCTGAAACATTAATGGCAATATGGAATAACGGGAACAGCTCCTTAAAGGGCACCAGTGCCCTATGATCTAGGTGTGACTTCAATGCCTCATTCTTCAGTCCCGATCAGCTAGAGATCTGACGCTCACAATTGCCCTGGGCCCCTTCATCTCAGTTCCTGGGGTTTTGGTCCTTCGCTAAGCCCACAGCTGATGAAGAGAAACCTGTGTTCAGAAGCCCAGGTCCCACCACCCGTCCACGCGGGGAGTACGCACATTGACCGTGGAAACCTCCCCCTCCTCCGTGGTCTCCTCCTGCGTGGGCTCGTCATTGGCAGGAGAGCTCCCCTGTAACAGGTCCACTTCCTCACTCGAGTCATTCTCTTTCATCGCTGCTTGTTTAGAGCGTCCTACACGCCTGGGGAAAAGCACATGGAGAGAAAACGAAGTGTGAACGTTCAAACCCGACCAGGCCACTACAGGAAGTGCATGCAACATGAGGGGGCTTCAGAAAGTCATGGGAAACGTTCACCATCTGTTAATTCCATTTTTCCTAGCACGGATCCTCACTAATTACTATTTTCATCCTTAGTTACTTTATGAGAGCAGAACCAGTCTCCTTACCATTGGAATCTCAAACCAGTGTTGTAATCCTAGAATCCTAGATGCAAAAAATCCTAGATGTGACCCTGATCACTCCCCAATTGGCTTCTCTTGTATGTCTCCCAACTCCACATGACGCACCCACGTCCCCTGCACTGCTCGAAGCTGGAAGCCTGTAGGTAACTCCCTACCGAACCGAGAATAAGTTCTTGAGGATCCTCAAAACAGATCATGGCCTTGCCCGCTTGCTGCTATCCATCTCCTCCAACTCCCACCTCCCCACGACAACAGCCCAGCAAACTCTCAGCTTCCTTCAGCCAACACCTCCCCTACTCACAGCGAGAGACCCTGTATAAGGTGGTTTCCAAACCGCCTCTTTCTCCGGCAGCAGAGCAGCAGGGAGATTCAAACTGCTGATGTTGCTAAGATCAGTGGCCCAACTCGCAGCCCACTGCGCTGTCAGAGCTCCTCATGAAATTGCCTTAGACGTAAAGATTTAAAAAGATCCTCCTAGTCAGGGTAACGGGGACCCTGGTGGTGCTGTGGGTTAGGCATTGGGTTACTAAACTGCAAGGTCAGCAGTTCAAATCCACCAGCCACTCAGAAGAAGAAATATGAGGCTGTCAGCCCCCATACGATTCACAGACTTGGAAACCCTGTACCGATCACAGTGAGTGGGAACCGCCTCAGTGGCTGTGGGTTTGCTGTTGTTTGTTGAGGGTCGTCGAGCTAGCTCCCAATCATAGCAACCCTGTATGGGGTTTCCAAGAAGTGGCTGGTGGGTTTGAACCAGCAACCTTTTGGTCAGCAGTTCAATGTTTACCCTACAGTGCCACACACCAGGACTCCTTTTGGGTATGGGGAAGGTTCATCTCCAACACTGAGCCAGGCCATAGAACTCTTTTCTGCACTGATGCGTCCAAAGGAACACTTGCGGGGTTTCTAATAATTCTGCAAAGACTCGGGTCATTTTAGAAGTTGAACAAAATAATCACCTATACCCTGGATTTGATGATGCTGAAATATAAACAAATTCACGTCCTATCATTTCCTAGTTATGAAACCCAACAAGGGAATTTAACATTCCTCAGGAACTGTGACTGTCCCTGATTGAATTCAAACACACACACACTCATGACCTGCCTCGACTGTGCATCTGAGAAAAGCAGCAGTGTTCCGGCTCAGTGCTCCTGTGGGACACGTGGTGGGGGAGACACGTCTCTGGCACCACAGGGCTTTCCCCAGAGAGCCGGCCACTGTGGGAAGCCCAGTGAACGGCAACACCCTCAGAAGCAGCTGATAGAACTCCTTCCTTAATAATGAAGGTTTTGAAGACTTATGATTCTTCCTCACGCACATCCCTGCCAGATCTACCCACCCCACCACTGACGCTCCTGGCACGTTTGTTATCTTGGGCACAAAACCGCTACCACAAGTCTCTTACAGATATGTGTTTGTCTGAAATCCAAAACTCTCTCTCTATAAATGTTTTAAAAGTCAGTTCCAACTGACGGGCCTTATGGGACAGAGCGGAGCTGCCTCAGAGGGTTTCCAGGACCAAGTCTTCACTGCGGCAGACTGCTATGTTGTTTTCCCGTGGAGCAGCTGGTGGGGTCCAACCTGGGACACTTCGGGTGGTAGCTGAGCGCTTCACCTACTGCCCACATGGGAAGCACTCCCTGTGTGGTATTCATGCATAAACTGTGGGGATGAAGAGATGGCCCCAGAGAGTTAGTTGGGGTACCCACCACTCAGGCAGACTTAAAGAAATCCTCTTTCCCTGGGATGCTGAGGCGGAATGTTCAGGGCTGTGAAGGCCTGCAGACTGATGTACTTACACATTCCTGGGGGCCTGTGATGGTGATGGCGTTTTTGACGGTCTACCCCGTGCTTTCTGCGGTGTGGATGGGGTCGATTCGGCAGCACTGGCTTCGGGAGACTCTGCCCTGCTTTGGGGAAGAGGAGACGTGGGTGCAAGCTCCCTGCCCGCCCACGTGCCCCCACACGCGCCCCAACGAGCACACTCACCTGTGCTGGGCCCTCCTGGCTGACCGGTGCTGCTTGCTCTTAGCCTTGGCCTCGGTGCCCCCACCTGCTCTGTCCTCCTCCTCCTCGTCCTCTGCGGCAGGGGGCCCTGCTTTTTTTTTGCTGCCTTTCTTAGGTTTCATTGTCGGCTCTTCTTTGGGGAGACCTGCGCCCAGCGGCTTCGGGGGCCGTCCGCGTTTGCCCTTCTTGGGTGGGCTGTTTTGCTCGTCCTCATTTTCCAGCAGGTCTTCTTTGAGCCTCTTCTCCTCGGGCCAGGGCTGCTCGTCCGACTCAGAGGCCACCAGGCCCCTCTTGCGGCCCCGTTGGCCGCCTTTAGGTTTCGCTTCCGGCACCAGTTTGCTCAAGTCATCCATGCCCAGCTTCTCCTCCGTGTCGGCGACAGGCATCTTCTTCCGGCTTCTCGGCTTCTCCAGTTCAGACTAGGAATGAAAGCAGCCCGTTTACACGAGAAAGGGGTCTGCATGCATGCTGTCAAACAATAAACTGATCTGGTTTTACCAGAGCAAGGTGGCCAGCAGGTGACCACAGCAAAATACCACTGAGGACTTGGTTTTGTGTGTAGTTGTTTCAGTTTTTTAAAAAAGGAAAAAATTCTCTGGGTAAGCAGGTAGATTTTCATTCTTACTTTTGTCAAATGGGAGACTCTCAAGATCAGTATCTTTGTTCAAGAATCAATTTTGGTAAGGCTTTCTTTCGTGAAAACGTTAAGTTCTCGGTTCAGTGCTTGCTCCTAATGGACCAACTGAATGGACCTACTTTCATAGTCAATTTAAGAACCTCTAGGTCTACGGCAAATAAGAACAGAAGCAAATAAGAACAAACATTTCAGATGTAAACCATCGACCTCCTCAGTAGTTGGACACCAGTTACAGTCTTATATGTTAATTTTTTTTAAATCCAGAATTTAGAAGTGGCCAATAAAAGGTGATATTACTGCATTATTTGCAGCGAGACGTGTAGTGTGGAGCTCCAACAACAACACGGAATATTGGGCCACAAG